ACATATATACGTGATATACATATATATATTACATCCAGAGCAAAGTAAGGTGCTTCTTACCTGTGGGGAAATGGATCTCGGGGGAGAGGGTCCCGCTGCCGTTCTCTCCGCTTCCAAAGCCATCTAGAAAGGGAAAAAGGCATCATACGTGAGTATATGTGGCTCTTCTTTTAGCCTTGTCCCTGGCAGAACGGGGCCAGGCTAGATGGCCCCTAGGGGCCCCTCCCAAGGCCTTTCTAGGTCTCACCTCCGGAGGCTTCCTCGGCCAGCAGGTCCTCGTCGTCGGAGAAGTCGGCGTAGCTCCGCCATCGCCTCCGCACCGCCTCTGACTCGGTGTCTTCTGGGAAGGAGGACTCTTCCGGCCGCTGGGAAGCCTGGCTCACCTGCAGGAAGGAAGGAAAGAGGCTCAGGAAGACCCCAAGAATCCCTTTGGGAATCACACTGAAGAGACTGAATTCCCCCCTTATGGCATCACGAGATCCTGTGACATCACTACAGCCCTCTTATGACGTCACAAGAAACTGAATTACCCCTTAATGATATCACGAGATCCTGTGACATCACTACAGCCCTCCTATGAAATCACTAGACTGAATTCCCCCTTAAGACATCACTAGAGACTGAATTCCCCCTTATGACATCACTAGAGACTGAATTCCCCCTTATGACATCACTAGAAACTGAATTCCCCCTTATGACATCACTAGAGACTGAATTCCCCCCTTATGACATCACTAGAAACTGAATTCCCCCTTATGACATCACTAGACTGAATTCCCCCTATGACATCACTAGAGACTGAATTCCCCCTTATGACATCACTAGAGACTGAATTCCCCCTTAAGACATCACTAGAGGCTGAATTCCCCCTTATGACATCACTAGAGACTGAATTCCCCCCTTATGACATCACTAGAGACTGAATTCCCCCTTATGACATCACTAGAGACTGAATTCCCCCTTACGACATCAATAGATATTGTATTCCCCCTATGACATCACTAGAGTCTGAATTCCCCCCTTATGACATCACTAGAGATGAATTCCCCCTATGACATCACTAGAGACTGGATTCCCCCCTTATAACATCACATAGAGACTGAATTCCCCCTTAAGACATCACTAGAGGCTGAATTCCCCCTTATGACATCACTAGAGACTGAATTCCCCCCTTATGACATCACTAGAGACTGAATTCCCCCCTTATGACATCACTAGAGACTGAATTCCCCCCTTACGACATCACTGGAGACGGAATTCTCCTGTTATGATATCACGAGAAACTTAATTCCCCCTTATGACATCACTAGAGACCGTGACATCACTGAGATCCTCTTATGACATCATCACAGACTGAATTCCCCCTTATGACATCACCAGGTCCTGTGACATCATTGGAGTCCTCTTATGATATCGCTAGCACCTGTGACATCACTATGGTCCTTTGATGACATCACAAGAGACCGTGACCTCATAACACCACTAAAGACTGAATTTCCCCCCTTTTGATGTCACTAGTGCATGTGACATCACGAAGACCCTCTTATGACATCGCTGCAGACTGAATCTCCCCTTTCTGTGACATCACAAGGGGTCACCCCTGCTCTGACCTGGAGTGCACCACCTGGGAACTACAACTCCCAGAAGGTGACAGCCCTTTCTTTTGCATATTGTAGGAACCTTCCCAATGCCATAAAAAAAGGAATGGGTGAGCTGCAAAAGGAGCGGGAACAAGTTCAAGGGATGCAGCGCAGGGTTGGCGCGACTGGCACCAAAAGCCCTCCAAGTCAAGTGGCCGCACTTCAAGCCCTCAAAGAACAGGGAGAGGCCAAGGCCGGGTTTGATAAGCGGGATCAACGGCCAAGGAGCGATCAAGAAAGAAAGAAGGGAAAAAACAAAAGGAAGGAAGGAAAGAAGGAAAGAAGGAAGAGGTAGCAAGGGCTCAAGAACAAAGAAGCGATCGAGAAAGAAAGAAAGAGCAAAAGGAAGGAAGGGGAAGGAAGGGTGCAAGAACCAAGAAGTGATTGAGAAAGAAAGAGTGGAAGGAAGGAAGGAGAGAGGAAGTGAAGAAAGGTTGGAAGGAAGGAAGGAAGGAAGGAAGGAAGGAAGGAAGAGGGAGGGAAGGAAGGAAGGGAGAGAGGGAGGGAGGTAAAGGAAGAAGGATGGGCTCAAGAACCAAGAAGATATTGAGAGAGAGAGAGAAAAAAAAAGAAAGAAAGAAAGAAAGAAAGAAAGAAAGAAAGAAAGAAAGAGCAAAAGGAAGGAAGGAAGGAAGGATGGGCTCAAGAACCAAGAAGATATTGAGAGAGAGAGAGAGAGAGAGAGAAAGAGCAAAAGGAAGGAAGGAAGGAAGCAAATGGAAGGAAAGAAGGATGGGCTCAAGAACCAAGAAGAAATTGAGAGAGAAAGAGAGAGAGAGAACAAAAGGAATGAAGGAATAAGGAAGGAAGGAGAGAGGGAGTGAAGAAAAGAAGGGAGGGAAGTAGGGATGGGCTCATGAACCAAGAAGAAATTGAGAGAGAGAAATAGAAAGAAAGAAAAAAAGAGCAAAGGAGGAAGGAAGGAGAGAAGGAAAGGAAAGGAAAAGGAAGGAAAGGAAAGAAAGGAAAGGAAAAGGAAAGGAAAAAAGGAAAGGAAAGGAAGGAAAGGAAAGGAAAGGAAGGAGAGGAAGGGAAGGAAGAAGAGGGAGAGGAAGGGAGAGGAGGAAGGAGGAAGAGAAAGGAGGAGGAAGGAAGGAAGGAAGAGAAGGAAGAGGAAGGAAGGAAAGAAGGATGGGCTCAAGAACCAAGAAGAAAGAGAGAGAGGAGGAGAGAAAGAAGGAAAGAGAAGAGAAAGGAAGGGGAGGGAGAGAAAGGAGGAGGAAGGAAAGGAGGAAGAAGGAGGAAGAAGGAAGGAGAGGAGGAAGGAAAGAAGAAAGGAAGGAGGAGAGAAGGAAGGAAGGAGGAAGGAGAAGGAAGGAGGGAGGGAGGAGGGAGGGAGGGAGGGGGGAAGGGAGGAAGAGGAAGGAAGGAAAAGAAGGAAGGAAGGAAGGAAGAAGGAAGAACCAAGAAGAAATTGAGAGAAAGAGAAAGAAAGAAAGAAAGAAAGAAAGAAAGAAAGAGAAGGGAAAGGAAGGAAGGGAAGGAGGGAAAGAAGGAAGGAGAGAAGGAAGGGAGGGAGGGAGGGAAGGAAGCAAGGAAGGAAAGAAAAGAGGGAGGGATGGAGGGGAAGGAAGAGCTCAAGAAACAAGACGTGATTGACAAAGAAAGGAAGAAAGGAAGGAAGGTAGGTGAGGGGAGAGAAGGGCTCAGGAACCAAGAAGCTATCAAGAAAGAAAGAGCAAAATGAAGAAAGAGCGAAGAGAAGGAAAGAAGGGGACAGACGGATCAAGAAAGAAAGAAAGAACAAAGGGAAGGAATTGAGGGCCCAGGAACCAAGGAGCAATTGATATAGAAAGAAAGAATGAAAGGAGGAAAGAGCGAAGGAAGAAGGAAAAGGAAGGAAGAAGGAAGGAAGGAAGGAAGGAAGGAAGGAAGGAAGGAAGAGCGAAGACTCAAGAACCAAGAAGCTTTTGAGAAAGAAAGTGCGAAAGGAAGGAAGGAAGGAAGGAGGAAGAAGGAAGGAAGGGCTCAAGAACCAAGAAGTGATTGAGAAAGAAAGACAGGATGGAAGGAAAGAGGGAAGGAAGGAAGAGATACAGGCAAGGATGCCAGTCTTTGACTGTATATGCCAACAATGAAGTTTCTAGTCCTCAGGAAGAGGGAAAAGTTTGGAGATGAGAATCGCAAGGCCGCGGGCTCGAGACGCCCAAATCGCCTGATGCAACTTGGCCGGCTTCAAAGGCGCGCAAAGTCAACCGAGTGCGAATCCGGAGCGAAGGGCTGCTTTCTTTGGCCGGAGATGGCGAGCCCTCGCGTGCGTGCAGAGGACGCTAAGCCCCATCTTTCAGGAGCAAGGGGGCGGCGATGCTGAATGGCCTGGGGATGCTGGGATGGGGAGTCCGGCCTCCGAAAGCCCCTCTCTCCCATTCGGGAGGCCCACCCGAAAGCCAAGGTTGTGCGTGCAAATGCAGAAACGATTACACAAGGAAGGGGCCGAGCACATCTGGAAAAGGGAGAGATGACCCGAGCGGAGGCCGGAGTGGCCAAAGAGCATTCCTGCGGCCTCCCAAAGCCCCGCACAGCTGCATCCCTCTCCTGGCCGGGCCCACACAGGCATTGCTGGGACATGGAGTCATCCCTGGACCCAAACGAGACACAATGAGGACACCACATAGCTCAGAAAGGAGGACTATAAGCCCAGCATCCACGGCAAGGCCTCCATTTGGTGGATAATGGGACTTGGAACCTTCTTCAATGCAATGAGGACACCACAAAGCGTGGAAAGTGGGACTACAAGTCCCAGCGTCCACAGCAAGGTCTCCATTTAGTGGATACTAGGACTTCGAACCTTCTTCAATGCAATGAGGACACCACATGGCTCAGAAAGCGGGACTACAAGCCCCAGCGTCCACAGCAAGGCCTCCATTTAGTGGATACTGGGACTTGGAGCCTTCCTCAACGCAATGAGGGCACCACATAGCTCAGAAAGCAGGACTACAAGCCCCAGTTTCCATAGAAAGGCCTCCATTTGGTGGATACTGGGAGTTGGAGCCTTCCTCAACACAATGAGGACACCACATAGCTTGGAAAGTGGGACTACAAGCCCCAGCATCCATGGCAAAGCCTCCACATGGTGGATACTGGGAATTGGAGCTTTCCTCAATGCAATGAGGGCACCACATAGCTTGGAAAGTGGGACTACAAGCCCCAGCGTCCACGGCAAAGCCTCCATTTGGTGGATACTGGGACTTGGAGCCTTCCTCAACGCAATGAGGACACCACATAACTTGGAAAGTGGGACTACAAGCCCCAGCATCCATGGCAAGGCCTCCACATGGTGGATACAGGGACTTGGAGCCTTCCTCAATGCAATGAGGACACAAAGTAGTACAGAATGCGGGACTACAAGCCCCAGCATCCATGGCAAGGCCTCCATTTGGTGGATACTGGGACTTGGAGCCCTGCACAAGTACCGCCTCCTCCCAAGCCTTCAAATAACATCGCTCTGCAATGTATAATTACGATCCCAGCGGTTCTCGCAATGGGAAAGAGGAGGCAGATGCGCACAGAACGGGCCTTTTCCTTGGACGAAAGGTTATATTTCTCGAAAGGGCAATTATCCCACCCTGTTATCACAAGGCTCTTCCTTTGCTTTCAATGGACTCGGTCGGACGGATCACAAGATCGCGAGGCAGCGTTCCAGCGAAATGAAAACAAAACACATGATCTAAAATCACAATTCTCCATCCCCAGATGATCTCCAAAGTGATCCCGTATCACAGGTTTTTTTAAATGAATACTCC